CATGTCAGAGCAGGGAAGATGGCCGCGGGTCGTGTTCGTCACCCGATGCGGAGTTCGCGAATAGAAGCAAAATTTTGCGAACGCTGCTCTTTGCGAACCGAATTGTCCGTGAACAGAAGCGTTCGTGAACCGAGGTATTACTGTACTTTCTCCTTTCCAAGGCTCGAGGAATGCTCCTCCCCTTGTTGTTTCTGTAACAGCTTCTGAGTATTTCCCTCAAGGCCATTCCGTGGCTCTCTACAGCGTGGTAAAGATGATATTCTTTCAGCAGAGGGTCCAAGTGTATATATAAAGACACGGTGCGTGCCTATAAGAAGGCTTAAACCATGTAACCCAATGAATTGGTGATTTAGAATGTGGATTTGGGGGGATTGTTTTTAACTTAGGTAGAGAGGAAAAAAAAGTCCCGTGGATTTTCCTAATTGAGAGAAAGACGTTCCCAGCTTTCTGCAGAATTTGAACATCACCCTGCTTACCTGTTGTCATTTCCTCTAGTGCCAGTCTTAATCAGGATTTTGTTCTTTCTGTTTTCATCAGATCTGCATCGAGGGGAATATTGCTAGTGGGAAAACAACCTGCCTGGAATATTTTGCTAAAAACACTGGCATTGAGGTGATGCATTGTGGGTTCTGTTAAATTCTTGAGTTTTTTCATATTCTGAGGGTGTTTCATGTGGATGTAAACAAATATGGTCAGGATTGGGAGCCACATGTTCAGTGAAATTCCTGCGGTATGAAGTATTTCCCCCCCCACAGTTCCTTTGAATATCACGCCTTGGTGAGAGTTCCAGAACAGTTGCTGGGTTTTTTCTCTCTCTCCTGAAACTGCTTTATATGACACTCACTTCCAATGCCTCGCAGCAGATTGCAAAAACATAACAAAATAATAAAATTAAACTCCACAAAATTTATAGCACCTGGAAAGCCTTGCTGAAAACATGCTTGAACTTTATAAACTATAATAAAGGGGTTGAGTGGGGGAAAGGCTGCTATAACGGTCACTCATGCCCTGGTCACCTCTGGGTTGGACTACTGTAATGCGCTCTACATGGGGCTACCCTTGAAGAGTATCC